ATCATAGCCAATCTGACAGAGATTTAATATCCATAATTTATAACGACCTCAGTGAACATAAAATCAAGACAAGAGGTAACCCAATGAAAAGTTGGGCTAAGGAGCTGAGCAGAGAGTTCTCAAAAGAAGAAGTAAAGATGGCTATGAAGCACCTTAAAAGATGTTCAACATCAATAATAATTAGGGAAATGCAAATTAGAACGAATTTAAGATTTCATCTTACCCCAGTCAGACTAGCTAAGATCAAGAGAACAAATGATACCAAATGTTGGAGAGGATGTAGGGAAAGGGGAACACTCATCCACTGCTGGCAGGACTGCAAACTGGTTCAGCCCCTATGGAAAGCAGTGTGGAGAACTACAAATGAACCTACCATTTGACCTAGTTATACCACTCCTTGGCATATACCCAAAGAACTCATCCTATTGCAGAGACAATCCTATTGTACATCCTATTGTACATCCATGTTTGTTGCTGCTCTTTTCACAATAGCTAAGAGATGGAAGCAACCTAAGTGTCCCTCAGTTGATGAGTGGATAATGAAAATGTGGTTCATTTATACAATGGAGTTTTACTCAGCAGTAAAGAAAGATGAAATAATAAAATTTGCAAGTAAATGGATGGTATTAGAAACTGTTATACTAAGTGAAGTAACACAGACTCAGAAAAAAAATCAACATATGATCTCCCTCATATGTGGATACTAGAACCAGACCCTGATAAATGAGTATGTAACCAGACATAACTACAGGAACCAGGATAATGGAAAGGAAACAGGGAGGTAAGGGAAAAGAAATAACCTGAAAGAGAAGAAGAGTAGGAAACAGGCCTTAATAAGGGAGATATGGATAAAAATTGGGTTAGTTTAAGGGAGGGGACAGGAAGGGTATACAAGGAACATAAGGGATAAAGGGAAAGAAGGAGCTCCAGAGAGGAAGGACCATAGGAGAAGGGTATTATTAAGGGAGAAACGGGGGAAAAGGGAGCACCTTAAGTGGGAAAATCATGATGGAGGGGTAAGACAATGTGAGAGATAAATAATACCTAGCTAGTTTTAAAAACCAAAAACAGAGGGAACCATATTAATAGAACAACCTACAGAAAAATTATACATGCATCTAGCTCAAGGAATACAATATATGTCTAGGCAAGGTTTTTCAATTGGTCTTTGCCCAAGATTTATCTACATGACGCACAATAATTAAAAGTACCAGACTGGTGGAACTAACCTTCTTGGATGTTTAACAGACATACTTTGAGGCCTATAATAATTTGGTCAGAGGGACATAAAAGACACTTTTTGGTCCTTCCCTTCTAGGTCGACTAGTTCCAGGTGACTATGAGCATCTCTCAAAATGTACTGTAATTGTGGTGGGTCACCTGTCCTCTTGATCAAGGAGGCCGAGGAGACCCCACCAGATGGACCTGAACCAGTATCCAGTCTACAAAGAGGAGGGTCAACACAGAGGAATCACTTCCTCCATGCTTCCAAGCGAAGCCAATCATGGTGGAGCAGAATATATAACGAACTTAAAAAACAGAGACCCAAGACAAGAAGCAACCCAATTGAAAGATGGGCTAAGGAGCTGAACAGAACGTTTTCAAAAGAAGAAGTAAAGATGGCTATGAAACATCTTAAAAGATGTTCAACATCACTAATAATCAGGGAAATGCAAATTAAAACCACTTTAAGATTTCACCTTACCCCAGTCAGACTGGCTAAGATCAAGAAAACAAATGATACCAAATGTTGGAGGGGATGTGGGGAAAGGGGAACACTCATCCACTGCTGGTGGGGTTGCAAACTGGTTCAGCCCCTATGGAAGGCAGAGTGGAGAACTCTTAAAAAACTACAAA